CGGACGCTCTCTCTCTCTCTCTCTCTCTCCTTTTTTTTTACCTTTTGCTCGTTTTAACCGAGTGTAGGGAACAGAACCGGAGAACTTTCACTTCGGTGAGGTCATCGTCGGTCCTTAAATATTCCTTAGCACGACGCTTCACTTTCATGCACGGCGACGTTCACGCACACCGAAAATTCGTTTAGAGATTCGATTATGGCCATTTTGGGTGCAAAATTTCCTCCTTCTCGTTTCCAAACGAACGACTTTTACATACACTTTTGTAAATCGGATTCAAGTCCAAGTGTTATTATTAATAAGTTGTTGGATATGTTTTAAACTAACGATTTTTTTGATATATTTTTTGTAGGAAATAAGTTGCATTGGTTAATTTATGTGATTGTATTTTAAAAAATATTTCTTTTTTTTTTTTTTCATATCAATCTTTCATCAAAAGATATTCCATTGTATAAAACAGATATGTATGAATAATTATAAATTATAGGATATTCATTGAATAAAACTACGAATATTTGTGCAAGAAATATTTCTGTTAAAACTAGCTATGTATATAAATTCAATACCTGTTTAAATAATTAGGAAGTTGTGGTATTAAGAAAGATATTTGTATTCGCGATAATAATAATATTTTAAGAAAAAGAGTTAAGTAAAAGAAGAAAAAAATACATCTTCGGTGATCAGCGGTATAAAACCTTGAAATCTTTTCATCAGATTGCCTTGAGCGAATCTTAATGTGGCCATATGCGACTTGTAACATTATATTCAGGCGTAAGTATATGTTTCGCGGTTTTGTGAATGCAGACGAGTTAAAATTTCACGAAGAACTTTTTCTTCTTCTCGTGCCACGCTAAAGGGGACACGAATCTCATTTGTTATTTTACATATTAATTGGAAATTTATAACGTAAATTTACAGGTAAATATTTTTTGTGCGGCAAAAAAAACTAAGAGTTCACAATTTCATTTGTATCTTTGTGTATCGCTATTTGATTTAAATTTAAACTGTAAAATTTGTATATGGATTATTTCTTTTATTAAATTTGTGAGATAATAAGATTCTTTATAATTAGTAATAAAATTTAACAATGCTAAAATAAACTGAAATGCTACACTAATTAATTATATAACAAAGATACGAATGTATAGACTTAACTTTCTAGACTATTTTCTAATTAATATGTCGTAACAAATAATTTGTTCATACATGTTAATTATACAATTAATTATTTACTGTGTGACGTATGTATATATTGTATTAATGGTACGTATTTTATGTATAATTCATTATTAAATGCGGTAAATTTATAGAAGTCAATTAGTGCCACAAGAAGTTTGTAATGGTTAAGTAATGGTTGTTCTATGAAACAAGTACCAGCGCCTGAATTACCGCACAACGCCGAGCATTTTCTCAGAGACACGAATGTCGGCACAAGAACGATCCTTCCTAGTCAATTGCTATGTATTTAACGTGTAACACATTTTGCAAGATGAAAATAATAATACCATTTAATTATAATTTTCGCGCGTATATAGAACAAATTTATTTTTAATATAATTTTAATATCCATCCTCTAATTCTATTTAATTTTTATATCATTGATATAATTAAAAAGAAATATGAATCACAGTTTAAAAAAATACCGTTATCTTTATCGAATTAATAAGCATTTTTAACATTTATAACTGGAATAACTGTAAATTTTTTTTACTAATAATAACGTGATAAATAATATTCAATCTTCAGTTTGATTATTACAGATTTTTTGTCTTGAAAGCTAACACATTAATTATAGATTAAATTAATTTTCAAATCTCAAAAATTATTATTAAATTTTTCAAATATTAAAAATCCTATTTAAAATATATCTAATTTAATAAATCTCCTTCTAGATAAACAGAGATATAAAAAAAGAAGACAAGTATCTATGAAAATACATATAATACAATAAACTATATTTCACAAGCTATATATCCATCTTTCATTTTCAATAAAATTCAAAATATCTGAGAAACTCTTCAGAAATTTTCACAATGGACAATCTATTGTGTATCATTGATTGAACAAATGCACGTTTATTAAACAAAAAGAATGTGTGATTGATACGCATGTGAACGCATCGGGTTGATCGATAATGCAAGAATGTGTTCCGGGAATGACTTTTCCGCACTTTTTCTGCATCGTATTTTTCTGCAACGGTTTCCTTTAACGAGCGAAGACGACCAAAAGCACGATCGTGATCCCTCCTCAACCAAGGAATTCGAGCGGAAAAATGGCTGCGCGACAAAATAAAACGACGAATGACTCGACCACTCGCCAGACGAATTAACGTTTAACAGCCGGTCGCATAATCGGGTCGCCAGACACCAAACAAGAAGTCGTGTATCCAACCTTCAGCGATAATCGCTCGTCTGCACAAGGTTTGGTCGAAATACGAGTCTTTGCCGAAGAATCTCGGTAGTTTTCGAACAAATTCGCAAAAATATTTAGGCATTAATATACTTTTCATCTTTCTATCTAATATTTATCGATAGTACAATACAAATTCTAATGAATATTTAAAATGAATTACATTAGCTGAAAAGTTTTTTTTTCATTTTTAATCAGTAAATGAAATTAATTGAATCTTACTTCATAGGTTATGTTAGGTTATAGATTAGTTTAGATTACTTACTTAATTTTAGATTATTAAGACAAAAAACTTTGATTATCATAATTTGTATGTCATTAAATTTTTTAATGAAATTTTCATCGTAAAATTCTTGTTTTTTTATTAATATTATAATAAATTATCTATTAAACAACTCAAATTATAACAACATAGATGCAACAACTTTGTTCTATTTACAGATCGCAGTGTTGAAAAATGCCAAGAGGAGGCGCACTTAAACAGGAAGCACGTGTAACTAAAAAGAACAATAAAAGAAAAAGGTTGGTAAGCGTGCGAAACAAACGATGAGAAAGAACACGAGTAAACGAAATAAACTTTCTTAATGCATACCAGGCAATTGGTATTTTCTTTTGACAAAAAATCATTATGAAAACAAATATGCAGTTGATTATTTGCAATTACCAATTATAACTATCAAATTTTCTTATTAATTTTATTACTAATTAAAAAATAATTCTATATAATAATAATAATAATAATAATAATTTCAGTAATAATTTCAGTTATTCGTTAATAAATTTGATTATGATAGAATTTTTGAGGTTACAGAACGATGAATTCTTGGGATATGTTCAAACTTTTGATTGGTAAAATCATATCGAGAATATCTATATTATGAAAATAAATATTATATAAGTATATTCGTCTATCTATTAACGAGAGTCAGTAAAATTTTTTTCAGATAAAATTGCCGCGTTCTTTTGCATTCTTTAAAGATTCTTAGAGTCGTGCATCTTCGTGTCACAACTGTTATCGGTTATCGGTTAATTGGCTTCTTTCTTTCGACTTCGTATAAATACTGTAAATATCTTTGAAACTCAGAACCTATAAAAAAGTGGATTACGAAAGAGTAATGGCACTACATCTATCGCAAGTATGTTCAAATATTCGAATTTTTTATAAATCTTATAATCTTCTCGAATCTCTCTCGATCTCTCTCGAATCTTTTTAAAAATTTTATGAATACTAAAGATCAAATACTTTATTATATCTTACTACTATTATATGAATCCTATAAAATGATTTTTTTCGTTAGATTTAAATTTACTTATAAGTACATATTGAACTTGATCCCATCACTAGTTAAAAGAATTCTACGTGCAGGTGTCTCTCAAGTCGCGACAACGACTTTCTATTTAAGTCTGTTTGGAAACTTCCTGGGCCTTTTGGTTAACAAAGCTATTTGAAGGATAATTTTTTTTTTTTTAAAGAATTTACGCTGACAAAAGAAAAATTTTCTTTCTTTGATATGAGATGTTAAAAATAGTTTCATGAGAAATCTACTACATACTTTCATAAGACTTCAATATTTTAGTTATGGAACAGAGCACATATAATTCTTAATTTATACAACTTTGACACATTTCTTTATTCTTTGTATAAATGCCGTTGCTCTATTGTAATCGAAGTAAACACCGTTACTTTTTACAGTAATCAACGTCACTATAAGCATTCTTTTAATGTATTTTGATTTCTCAAATAAATCTTTCCTATTTTTCTAAATTTTATTTCGTCCTGTTATTTTATGTTTAATATATCAACATAGAAAAAAAAAAATAAAAAAGAAAAAGGAAATCGATAAAATAAACGATAATTCGAATAGATCGAATAAATGATTTAAGTAACTTTCACTTGTACCCTTCACCACTATTCCATTAAATCATGGTATAGACTCGTTTACAAGTGAATCCGATATTGCTAACCAATCGAAGAAAATTCATATTTAAATCTGTAAATCATAGGTTTGGATTCCACGACGAGTTCGAATATTCAAATTAATTCACCGTACATCTCTTATCAATCTCTTTTCTATTTTATTTAACCGTACAATTATATATTTGGAAAGAAGACAGACATTTTTTTTATTTCATAGCATCAACATTAAATAGAAAGGAATCGCTCACAACGAACAGAATTCATTGTATCAAAGGCGACAACTTAATGAAATATGAAAAGAATGTTGCGTAGGTGCAATATGCGTATACGTATATGTATATGAAAGTGAATGTATATGATAAATAATTTGCAAGCTAAATGCATACAAATATACATTTATTGCAATATTATATATTTGATGAAGATGTAATTTTATAGAATGATAAGAAGTTACATATGGATTTTATTTTTATATATAATAAATTGTTTTAAAAATAAGGAAAATTATTGAAAATTTTATTGAAATTATTCATTTCTATTGAAGAAATCTCATTTTTCATTTATTGTTAGATGAGAAGAAATCTTTGTATCTTTTTTAGATATGGATATCATAAATTATTTTCAGAAATATATTTCTCTTCCTTCAAATAATTAAAAAATATATATTCATGAACTTATGATATAAATAATAAAAATTATAATAATTGAACCAAAAATATCAATAATTAAAAGTAGAATACTTTTTTCAAAAAAATCAGAAAAAATCTAGATTTTTTTAAACTGAAAAAATTTTAATAATATTTATTGTTTTTTTGATATTATAAAATCGTTCATTTTGATTAAATTCAACAAGCTTTAAAAAGTTTTTTTAAAACATCATAAATATTGTCATACATTTTTTTATAGTTTTCAATATAGGATGACAATTCATATTTATTATTTCACAATTTTTCTATATTTCATGACATACATTATAATATGCTTTTTCAGGCCATAATTTCATTGAACAACAGGTGAGAATCTCCATTATAGATTGAAAGCTGTAACGAATTTATCACCAATGCATATGGCAGCATTTCGTAGAATATAACTTAAATATACATAATGTCCCGTTTATTACACTTGTTTAAAATGCGTAACAAAAGAAATTTAAGATTTATTTAAAAAAATAAGAATTATATTTTCATAATTAATTTAAAAGAAAAAATTTTTATAATTCAAAAAAAAATTTCATATTATTATATGATACGGATTATTTTAATAATATTTAACGTTTAATTTTATTTGAATTATGTATGAAATTTGAACAAATAAATAATATCGAATTGATTCATTTGTTCGTTAAATTTATTCCTCTATATTCTGATTTCGCATTATTTGAAGCATGCGTCAGAAGAAGTATTCTCGACGCTTTCTCCGGGATATATTAGAAAGTACAGGCTATAAAATCGTGGTTGAAAAACTACAAATATCATAGATTATTGGTAAAAGTTTTTCAAACTTAAAATTATTGTTCGTCATTAAAATTTTCAACTTGTTTCATTTATATTTAAATCAAAACTAAATAAATAATCATTGTAAATATTAAGAATTATCGATCTTTCAAACGAATGTTCTTAATATTTTGAATATCACTGCCATTATTTTTAAAAAAAATAGAAACAAAATTTCGATTGTTTACAAAATCGTTAATTGAATGATAATATGTATATCAATCAAAAATATTAAAAAAATGTTAAAAAATAAAAAAATATCTTACCGACTCCATTCCATAGGCACAGCGCCATAATAACGACAATCAATCTGACAAACATTGCGCTACATTGGTCTACGATACATGAAATATCAACAGAATCACATTCGACTCGCCGATACGTGGATCGATCCGAGCCACGATAAATCGAAACACTTTGATAGCCAGTTCTGTCGATGACATCTATCGAAATGTTACACTGTCAATCATATATATGTAAATGCATCTATCATTCATACAGATACATTTATTATTCTTTTTTGCGTCGATCTGATTGAATATATCTTCATACTCGATACTAATTATCCTTAGATACATTGAAAAACAGTTGCAAATTGTACATAAACATTTCTCGAATATATTCGATAACGAACACAAAATCACACAGATTCTCGACAAACTTCTTCATCTATATATTACACACACAATTTTAATCAACATTGATTAATGCACAATTCGAAAACACCAACTCGAAAGTTTTGCTACTTGTGGTAGAATCAACCGGTCAGAACACGCAAAGCAGTCAACTTTCTCTCGAGTCAGATAATTAACCGGCACAAGTTTTTAGAGCGATCACAGTTCGCAGCGAAATATTAATTACGAATACACCGAACGCTAGTAAATCATCATTGAAGTGAATTTCAAGAAACGCTTGAAATATTTCGGCTTCAATCGTATCAGAATTGTATATGTTGTCTCCAAGTATCATGATCTTTCTTTCATCTTGGTGTAGATAACATTATATTCCTGTCAATCGATTTCTCGATCACTTTTCACTGACTCTAGGTTAAAAAATAACATGACCATGATTAGAATCACTAATTCAAATTAGAAAAACATGTACCGATCTTACGCATTTTCGAACTAAAATTGATCACCTGTTAAGCCTTTTGATTTCGAAAAAATGCCGCTCGTGAATCGAGTACTGACTCTACGTGCATCGCGACGCGATCTGTTCGTGAATGCTGTGGCAGCCATGCCGATCAAACTAAAAGAACACGTATCATTGGCGTAACTATTAAAGAATCAAGTATCGAGTTCATCATTTCGATTCAATCAACTTTGTTAAACAATTAGACAAAGTATTAAATGAATTATTATATATTTTATTTCTTTTATGATTTTTTTTTTTACTTTTACAGCTTCTATAATTTTTAACTTTTAAATTAAACATTATTTTTTTAAAAATATTTCGTGAAATTAGATAAAATTAGAAATTGAATAAACTATTAGTTTATTCAATTATGAAGTAATTGAAAAGTTAATAATTTATTTGAAAATGAAAAATAAAATAAAGCAATCGATTCTTTGATTCTTTTCAAATTTTTTGAAATTTTATGCATGATTACGCTTATGGTTTACTGTCAATTCTGTAAAATGTAAGAAAACTTCATTGGTCAACTTGCCTTCAGATTCTAAGAAATATATACACATAGACATTATATGCATTTAATCAAATTTTTATAATTTAAAACTGAATTAAATAAATAATTGAATGAAATGATTAATTTACTAAATACGTATTTTATAAGAACAGGATCTTTTAAAATATTCATTAAACTTGATAAATCAATTTTATGTAATTATAATAATATAAATATAATTTATGTGATATAATTCTATATAAAATAATTTAAATAAATAAAATCAATTTTATATAAAAAAATATATAATGATTCTAAAGCAATATATTAAAGTACCTATATTATTTATCAAAATAAAATTTTAATAAGTAATCAATAGAATGTTAATTACATATAATAACTAATAACTAATTACATATAAAAATTCTTCAATTTATTTAATAAAGCACAATAATAATAATATATTTAATTTATTTGTTATTTACATATATTAAATAAATTTTTTTTCTAAAAAGAAATAAATGTTCAAGAAATAATCGCTTTATTTTTATTTTTAATATGTTTTATTATTATTATTATTATTATTATTATAAGAAATAGAAATTATTTTTAAAAATGCTTTATTATTAAAATAAAAAAATAAAATAAAAATTATTTAATGTTATCGAAAAATACTTTCACTTACATGGCACTTAACGTATATGAACATATGTATATTTCTTTCTTAACTTTCTAATACATATTTTAATAATTTCATTTTATTTTATATAAATTTTATAAGAATTTTCTAATATAAAAAAAAATTGTCTATATATGTTAAATATTATTTTTATTATAGTATCAATATTAAAATATTGCACAAGTTATTAATGCTATATTTTCTGCTATTTATTATATCAAAGACACTATATATTTTTAAGATCTTATATCTTTCACACTTTTATATGAATATAGCAATTATGATTTTTAGTGCTTTAAAAAAATGTGATTTTATTTTGTTATATTATTCGAATGATATAAACGTAACCTTTTCCAGGCGTTAAAGTCTCAAAATTAATTGGTAACTTTGAGGTTTTGTAATGTAATGGATGTTTTTAAAAACCGACAAAGATACAAACATTATACATGTCTCTGTTTTTCAGTAATGGGACAGAGAAGATTTAGAGTTTCGGTAATTCATAGAGATGTTATTATTACATTTTGTAATAAAATTAATATCATTTGATTATTTTTTATACATATAAAATATATTATTATAATTCGTTTTTCTAATTTTTCTTTATGACAAATATCAATATGAACTTTATATTGAATCAATATGATTTCTAAATAATTTAACAATCACATTGGATAATTTAACAATCATCATTTTGAGATGGGTGTCCTTATTGCTCCGAAAACAGGAGATGCATCAATTAAGATTATACCACAAATGAAGAAACATACTACCAGTTCTGATGAATCTTCTAAGAGTTTTATTTCTACAATATCAAAAAGACATGCTATTAAACAAAATGCTTTGATTATTGAATCGAATTACAACTCCATTAACAGTATGAATAAAGATTCACATAATCATTCAGTAACAGAAAATATAATTTCTGATGAAATGAGCAATTCTACGATTCATGATAGCTGTCAGTTTCCTTATTATAGGTTAATATTTTTATTATATTATTATTTGTTATTCAATATTTTTATTAATACAGTTTTTATTTTATCAAATGTATCATAAATAATTTTGTTGAAAATTTTTATTCTTAAATAATGATTTTTTTTTGTCATATACATAATCATATTCATTAAATAATAAAAAAATTATTTACATATCTTTTTTTATAGGAGTAATAAAAGTAATGGATGTCCAGATGCAGTTTTGGTAAAAGATATAGGTGTATCGTGTATGCTTTTAAATCAAAATACTTCTGAAATATCTCCTGAAACAAAAACTATTGTTAAGCATCTTAAAAAAGAATACAATGATTTGTCTAACATTACAAGTAAAATAACTACATATACAAAAGACATATTAAGTCATTTATCAAAAAAAAATCAAAAAAAGCAGCAATTTCTTAAAAATTTGGTATTTAATTTTTCATATAATCTATAATGATAAAAATGAATTTAATATTCACATAAAATGATATAAAATACATACAATTTTTATTTTATATTTGTTTTTTTTTCATAAATCTAATAATAATTATTTCATAATTATAAATATAAGTATAAAATGTATGAATTCTATAGGTATCTTCAAAACATGCAATGGCATCTCAGTATATAGATACTGAAGGTAATCTCTGTTTAAAATTAAGACTTTTTAGTAATGCTGAAACTCAATGTATTACTCAGCAAGATGTTAAGAATTTCAATAATATATTATGCAAAGATGGATATAATATTAAGAAATTGTGTAGTAAACATTGTAATTATTACAATTATTTTATAATATTCAAAAAATAAAATAATTTTTTATCTATATTTTTTTATATATGTGTATATATATAAATATTTTATAGTTTTTATATATTTATAATATATATTATTATTTTTATATATGTAGCTCAAATTTCAAGTAATGAAAGTATAAAAGTTAATAGTATGAAAAAAAATTCAAAATATGAAAAAAATATTCAAACATTAATTCCATGTCAAGAAAACGAAACAAATACTTCAACTTCAACATCACCTAGTGCATCTTCAGTATTTAATTACTTAATATTAAGTAAAAAAAGAACATCAAATGAATTTTTAAATTCTAAATCTAACAAATTTGGTGATATGCACAAACATACACATCTTAAAAATTCATTGATAAAGATGGCAAAGATCATTTAAAAATACGTAATCCAATATTATTTACTAATTGGAAAGAAATTTCAAAATCAAAATCCAAAAATAAAACTTTTTTCAGTGAATCACAACAAACGGTTTGAATATTACAATTCAAAAATATTATATTATTTTATAATATAATTATAATTGTTTTTTTAATTTCAATTACAGACTAATACAAAAAATAAAATTTTACAAGGAGATAATACGATCAACAATTTATCTAATACCAAGTTTCATACAGTTAATATACGTATTATAAAAAAAGTAAAAAAATGTATAATTTTTATATTTTTTATGTTTTGATATATTCATATAATAAATATTTTTATATTACTATTAAATATTTGTTTTATTTACTCAATATTTATAATCTTAATATTTTTTGATGATTTTTTTCTTTAATGATTTATTCTTGATAAAAGCATTTTATTTTAATTATTTATAGTCATTTATAAATTTATTTAAATTATATATATTATATATTTATACATGTATTATACTATTACAAATGTGTATAAATAATTTTTCTATTTTTATTTATCAATACCGATATTTTGCAAATTTATCGTTTGACTTTTATGTAAAAATGTGGAATATATTAAAATTTTATTAAATATAAATATATAAAATTATATACTGTATATGTACATAATGTTCATTTATCAAAATATATATTTATTAAATTTAAAAACTTCACAAATCAAATATAAGTGTTTTTAATAAAACAAAAGTTTAATAATCAAAAATATAGGTTATGTTTTATATGCTCGTAAATAAGAAAATCTAATTTTACGAGTAAAAAAATATAATTTAAGATAAAATTTTTTATCTTTATATTAATAACAATAAAAAACATGATTTTTGATTAATATAAAAAACATCATGTGGAATAGTATAAAAATAAATAATGATACTTATATGATTTCTATTACATATAAAAATGATACAATCAAAGTTCTTTTAACTAATCTTATTGAAATATGGACAGAAACATTAACAAAAAAAATTATTTTAGACAGATGTCAGGTAATTACTAAAGTATTATACAAAAAAAAATGTAAAAACAAAAACTTTACATTTTTATAATTAATTAAATTTAATTTTATATTTTATTTTAGAAATTAAATCCACTTTTAAATGTTGAAGCTATTGATTATAATGACATTGCATTAAACATTTTAAATAATATGTCAGAATATATTGTGGAAGCATCTATAGAACATATAAAATTACGCGCTCAAATAGATGGTGGTTCAATAAAATTTTCTGTAAATCTAGTAAAAGGCACAGCTCAAGATTTTTGGGAAATTATAACTAAACCTTTATATATATCATCAATGGAAATTATTCGTCAGCATAAATTTCTTTTAGATTTAATAAAAAAAAAGGATGAAGAAATTGCAGAATATAAAGCAGAAGGCGCTGAGTTAATAAGAAGTATATTATTTTTTTTATATTAAGTATATTATATTACGTTGATTTAATATATATTTTAATATTTATACAGAAAATATTGAAACAAAAATTTTTACGGAGGAACAATTTGAAGTAGACATTCCTACACCAAATACTATTGATTATACAAACACATTCCAAAGAATGATGGATTTTTATAAACTGAATTTCTATAAATATAATACAACATTTAAAGAACTAACAAGGTATTCTTTAATTATTATTTATAATATTATATATAATAAATTCTTTATTAAAATGATTTTTTGTAATAAATTACAATAATTACAAAAAAAATTTATAAAAAATTTTATAAATTTAAAGAACTTATCATTTTTTATAGCAATGATCATAATAAAATACAGCAAACAGAAATATTGAAACAGAATTTAACAAGTTCAATCCAGGATGATATTCCTAATGATAATAAAAATGTATCTAATATTGAGGATACTTGTATGAAAACAAATATAGGAACTACATTTTCAGAGAATAAAAAGAAAAGTAAAAATATAACTAAAAATAAAAAAGTAATTAATAAAATTGGAACTGCAAATTTGACATATAGACCTGTCAAAATATTAAAAAAAGGTTTGAATGATTCTATCTTGTGAAATATGATATCAAAATATAAAAAATTAATTAATATAATATATTCTATAATATTCAGAGGAAAGGGTAATTTTTGTAAAAATATATTATTTAAAGTATTTTTTTTTTGATCTTATATTTATATCTATTTACATATCATACAAAATAAATTAATTTATTTTAAATTGATGATACATCGAGTAAGTATATTCTAAATTATCAATATAAGTAATGATATATTATATATTTTATGATAAAATTAATGTTCTGATTATTCAGTATTCAAAATATTATTAAAGAAACAAGATTATATGAAAATAAAGTATTAACAAAAAATGATAAAAGAGAAATTGATATTAGATTGAAAAGCAGTTAAGATTGTCAAAATTTCAAAATATATATTCAAAATATATATGTATTCAATTATATATTCAAAATATATATGTATTAACATGATAAAAAAGATTTTGTATTACATGATAGATAATAAAAATGAAATTATGAATTGATAATAATAATAATAATGTGGCAAAATAAGTTATAATTAAAAGGATATTAAAAAAAAATATGATAAAAGTGATAAAAGACTTTCGTCTGAATATTATCGATAATTTTGAACTCGAAAATTATTAGGAAAATACTTCTTTTTATTAGAACTTGAACATCTACCTGAAATGTTACCTAGACGAGGAAACAATAAAATAAAAAGAAAAAGATGTCGACAATGTACTGCTAATGGTTTACGAAAAGAAACTAATTATTTCTGTCCTGGCTGTAAAGATAATCCTGGTTTATGTTTAGGAAAATGTTTTAAAGAATATCATAAACTTATATGATATTTAATACTATGTATATGTCAATTTTTTAGATTTTATTCATTATTTTAACTTATTTTTGCATACATAATAATTTCTTTATTTAGTACATAAAAAAATTTACAATCTGGTTTTGACTTTTTTAATATATGGATTGTTCATGATAATTGCTATTTAGTAATTTATAATATAATATATATATTAATTAAAACATTATTAAATTAAATTTAATTAATTCATATAGAATTTTAAGCCCTTTCCCTGGATATTACTCCAATTGTAAATGTATCAATAAATTTATTATATTCATTAATTGTATTATAAATAACAAAATTGTAAATTTTGAAATATAAAATTGTAATGATACATAAATATAATTATTTTATTTATATGAGATTTATAAAAAGAAAAGAAAAATATGTAATAGAAAAATATATAATATAAAAACATATATTAGTATAATTTATTTTTTACTTATGTTATTTATGTTTCATTGTATTTTGTTAAAAGTTTAATAAAAAGATTTAGAAAGATTAAAGGCAAGACAATTAACAAAAAAAAACCGCTGGGCTCGTCCGGGATTTGAACCCGGGACCTCTCGCACCCTAAGCGAGAATCATACCCCTAGACCAACGAGCCATGTTATGTGATTTGTTTGTTAGTAGAGATATCTTCCTTAATGGCGGCTTCGCTGTTGATTCAAAGTATTATCACTCTTATTATTTAATGATAATTTCTCATCGTATAGTATCGTATATGCAAGATGGCGGAACAGAGCCAACAAGATTTTAATAGAAGTGCGTTGACAGTTCGATATGGACGGGTAATCAACATATACTTTTATTAATATATGTTTAAAATGTTATTTTAGTGAATTTTAAATTTTAATGCAAACAGATTATTGTAAACGTTTTCAAAAATCTAGGCTTGGTACACAGGACAACGGGCAGAAAAGATACCTGGAGGATTAGTGGGTGTTGTTGGCGATAATTGTACAAGTTTAGATCTGTCTTATAATGAACTAACCTCTATTACTGCTGTCAAATACTTCGAAAGTCTACAGGAACTGATACTCGATAATAATAAACTTCGGGATTTAAAGACATTACCTCGTATACTAAATTTGACCACTCTCAGTTTAAACAATAACAAGGTTTGTTTTACTTATTTTGTTAATTTTTTGCATTAAAAAGAATATTTTGATGAATTAAAATTATTATTGATAGAAGATATTGATATAGAATAGAAATTAATTATTTACCATATAATGCATTAAAAAATTAAAGTTTAAATGTTTTTCCAATAGTTTTTTAATTATGAAGATCTATTTTTTTGGTATGTATAATTATTTGACATTATATCAAACTACTTGTAAAACATATTTGTGCATATGATATTAATATAAATATTTATTATTTCTTTTTATGCTTTTTATTGAAACATAATTTTCGTTATATTTATTTTTAATTTGTTTTATGCAAATTTTATTTCAATATATTTACTTCAATAAATTTTAGTATAATATTTCGTTATCATTATCTCATAGGGAAATATGTATTTATCTCGTTTAAATGTCATAAAATATTTATTTATAGTAACTTAATATAATTATTTTGATACTAATTTGTGATGAATTCTATTCTAATTTGATTTACATTTCTTATTTTTGAAATGAACAATTATATTTAAAAATATATAAATAAGATAAAAATATCAATTAATTAATCAATCAATAATCTTTGTTAACGATTTATCTACTATCATATTACTTTTAAATCATTTCAAATAATGAATAGTTGAAAAACAGATTAAATAAATATGATACATTTATTATTGCATCATACTAAATATTTTTATTAAATTTAAAAATAACTAATCGTTCATGTTTTCAACATATATTGTCAGCTTGTAATTTTTTAATAATTGCGAAACCGATAAATCGAAAGAGAAAAAATAAGAGTTAATTGTATTCGTTTTAATCGGGGAACTTCTAAAGGAATACTTTATGAGTTATTCATTTTCATTGAAATTCTAAACGTTTATGACTTTTGATATCTTATGTCATCAATGCAAATGGGTTCGATGACATTCTTGATGCCATTCACCTCGTACTGATCGTTACGATTGACGATATAACTGGGTTGCGGATTTGTATAATTTCATTAAGAATATTGCGTTTTAATAAAAAATTTTACTATTATTATTTTCGGTAAATTACGTAATCAATATTATTAATCAGTATTAATGTAATTAAATAACTTAAAATTTTTATTTTTTGATAATTATTTTTTATTTAAAAACTTTTTCAAAAATTTAATATTATTATTTTTTAAAAATTAAACAAATTAATATGAACTTAATTTTAAAAATTATTAAATAATAAAAATAAATAAAAATTATTATTATTATTAAATAATTGTATTATTTGGAATGATATGATTAATATAAGTAATATCATTTCATAAAATATAAAATTATAATTAATAAATAATTAAAAAATTCCAAAATAATGATCATTAAATAAAATTGAAATATGCCATATTACATATAGCATCCTTTATAAAATTTCATTTGTATACTTTATCATTATGTATCAATATTGTTGTATCATTTTGGTTTAATTATAAATTTACATTTATTATGTATATGAATGAATCATATTTTTATCACCTAATTTGTTTAAATAAAAAATTGTTTAGATAACAGATATAGACAACGCATTGAAGAGAATACAGGAATGTTGTCCAAAAGTAATGTACGTGAGTTTACTGGGTAATCCAGGATGCCCCGATCAGTTAACGAATCCAACGTCAACCGATGACGAGGATTATAATCGTTATAGACTCTATGCTATATATGCATTACCTTCGACACTTCGGTTTTTGGATTCACGTCCAGTGACGATACAGGAACGAAAAGATGCTGAAAGACGAGGAAAATATTCGAGGACTATTAAAATGGTTCCAGATTTATCACAGAAATTCGTTTCAAATACATTAGAAGATTTTGATGATATATTCTTCAATATTCATTATACTCCTTTGCCAAGATCAATCCGCAATCCTCTTGATCATAAAGGTATAATTGTAATATTATAATTTCTTTAATATACCTTATTATTTTTTAGTGATATATAATATAATTGAATAATGATATTTATTTGAATAAGAATGAATATTCTTGTTTAGAAAAGAAACAAAATTAAAAATATTTCTTATATATTTTTTGAATTGATAATAGAAAATTGATTACAGAAAAAATAAATTTGATTTTATTAATAGTAAGAGAATTAAATCATTTTACTTATATTATTTATCAATCAATATTTTATGAAAACATTGATTGTAAAATCAAGTTGAAAAAGTATGTTCATATGAGTGTTAAACCATTTAATGAGAATTACTATTTAAAATAATTACACTATTTAATTTTAAATATTAAATATAATATCCTTATTCAATTTCATTTTATCTATTGATTATTTAGTTTTGTTATCAAATAATTAAATTTAATCAAATTTATTTAACTAAATTATTAATTAAAATTATTTAATTAGAAATAATGATTGATTTATTGATTATCTGATTAGAAGTTTTATTAATTTTATAAATTATAAGTATTTCAATTATTTTATGTTTCAGGAGCATTTGGAAAATGTAAATATCGATATTCTGGAAAGAATTCAGAAGGAAACCGGTTCATTTCTAATAATGATCTTTGAATATAAATCGAGTAAGTCAAGATATTTTTGTATATATGTTGCGATTTTGTTTTTTTTATAAATGAGAAAAAAAACAGCAATTAGATTCGTAGAACTGGCAATGAATGAAACGATGCACAAATCAAATTTTCTTGATATTTTTTTTTTCTCGTTTTTAACCAAAAATCTCATCTACGTGCCTGATTATTTGTTCAATATTTACCTAATAGATGTTAATTTTTTATACATATATACATCGAATAAAATATAATTCATTATGAGTAAACGTACAAAATTTTATTATCACGTACACTGATGAGTGACATAAATAAATGTCAAAGACTCTCCATTTTGTTCCGATCGATCCGAGCGCCACATTATCCTTCGAAGAAACGGTCTCAAGAGAAACAAAAAACGCGCGCGTGTTTTGAATTCCAAAACTCTGTTTTTTTCTTCCTGCTATCGTATTAGTTTTATTATCATAATTTAATGTTATTGGTCCTTAAACATACACAACATAATAGTCTCGCAACAATATTTTCCACGCGCAGTTCGATCCTCCTGACAAGCTACGAACAAACACAGCACATTCAATTCCAAACTCATTTTTTACGGACGTATTGGCAAATTTTTCTAACAATCGTTTCTTTGACACGCGTTTACGAGAAAAACTTACGTCGAAGGCAGTTTAAAATAGTATCGATTGTTAACCCTGTATTTAGGAAGAACCTTACGGATAAGTATACACGATCCATGTGTTACGTTATGTTTTCCTATATGCGATAATACCGAAAACTCGGTGTTGTAATATAATTAATTAATTAAGTACGATTACATCAGCCTTTCGATTCGTCCCGGATGTAATTAGTATTCAAATACTAATATTATTTTTAAAAGGAAGTTTCGCGGATCAGTGTTTTGCATATATTTCACAATTATCATAACGTTTCGTATATGCTTTTATCTTGAAACACTGATATTTTTTTACTTTTTACTTTTTTTTTTCTTTTTTTC